AAAGAAAGTCAACAATTGTGGCGTCAATCTGACACAAAAGCATCACAAACTACTATTAAATGACTAAAGAAAATAGGTGCAAAGAAAACCTGAAACAAACAAAAACAATTTTTCATTCTCAGGTAATTGTCATTCTTCATTCATGCATCTAATTTAAATGATGTACAATACTTGTGTTGCCAGCTTGGCAACTGTCACTACATCGACTGATTTCTTTTTCCTGACCCTATGGCAAGTCATTTTCAAAAAAGCTACTACACACAAATCCATCCGGTCATCCAAATTGGCTAAATTCCTGTCCCTTGACCAGCAGTTATTTCTCTTTTAGGAATTTCCAGCAATTGTGTGCATGTATAATTAAGTCAACATTTATAATGCCTACTGTATATAGATACAAATAAAATCTAATGAAGTCATACTTTGCTGTCAGTGTGCTCTTTTCTATTGAATAGACCTGTCGGAACCTTTCTATGCATGCTCGGCGTCGTGTGGGTTGTGTGAAATTTTTCAATGAGCAAATCAAGCATTCAACTGAATATGGCCTTACGCAAACGTGCATTGTGCTCATATTTAACAAAGATGGAATAGATCGTGGGCGGCAACGTGGACAACTGGTCAACACGCTGGACTCACAGTGCAGAAGTGCAGGGTTCGATTCCTGTGTGGAGTCTGCATGTTCTCCACATGCTGCGTGGTTTTTCTCCGGGTGCCCCGGTTCCTTCCCACATTCCAAAAACATACACGGTAGGCTAATGGAACACTCTAAAGCAGTGGTGTCCAAACTACGGCCCGCGGGCCAACTGCAGCCTGCGGGTTTGTTTTTATTGGCCCGCAGCAAATTCTGAAAATATAGTTGAATATGGCCCGCACATGGCCCTTGAGCTCAACTCTTTTGAACCTCTCAGTTTCAACACTAGATGGAGCCAGTAACGGAAAAGATGCTCCTCCATGAAACAAAATTAAGCAAAGAAAAACATTTACCACGAGTCACCAGAAATGGCAGCACCAAAGAAACGAAAGATAGCCAGTGAGTGCAGAAGATTTCAAACACGGTGGGAGAATGAATATTTCTTCAAAGAAATCAACGGAAAATGTGTCTGTTTGATTTACGATGAAGATGTTGCCGTGATGAAGGAGTACAATGTCCTTCGCCACTATGAAACCTAGCATCAGCGCTACGCATCGTACACAGGTGCCGAACGAGCACAGAAATTCAAGCGAATGGCAGCAAGCCTGCAAGCTCAACAACAGTTTTTTTTTTCGTGCTCACAAAATACAGGACAATGCCACAGCAGCATGCTATGAAGTCGCTCAACTTATTGCCCAGCATGGCAAACCATTCTCAGATGGTGATTTCATAAAGCAGTGCCTCATTAAAGTCAAGGAAGTAATCTGCCCGGAAAAAGTGCAGGATTTCAACAACGTGAGCTTATCCAGAAATACAGTGGTGTGGAGAATCAAGGACTTGTCAGCTAACCTGAATCTTCAACTGAGAGACAAAGCTTGTGCTTTTGATTTTTGCTCGATAGCATGCGATGAGAGCACAGATGCCACAAACACTGCACAGCTGTTAATTTTTTTGCGGGGAATCGATGATAATTTTTGCTGTACGGAGGAGCTGCTTGATATGATGAGCCTAAAAGGCACGACGGGTGGCCCGAGCCTTTGCTTATTTTTCTGTATTTGACCCTCACCCAAAAAAGTTTGGACACCCCTGCTCTAAAGTGTCCGTAAGTGTGATTGTGAGCACGGATGGTTGTTTGTCTGTTTGCGCCCTGCGATTGGCTGGTAACCAGTTCATGGTGTACCCTGCCGACTGCCCGAAGAGAGCTGGGATAGCCTCCAGCACACCCCGCAACGCCTGTGCGGATAAGCAGTTCAGAAAATGGATGGATGTAATAGATTGTGTGGTATTTCTTTATGGTTGCTGATGGTGCAGTGGTACACATGCTGGACTTGCGTGCGGGCAGCGTGGGATCGGTTCCCACTCAGTGACAGTGTGAATGTGGGTATGAATGGTCGTTTGTCTCTATATGTGCCCTGCAGGTGACTGGCGACCACTTCAGGGTATAGTCTGCCTTCCGCCCAAAGTCAGCTAGGATAGGCTCCAGCAACTCCCCGTGACCCTGTTCTGGATAAGCAGTGTTGAAAATGGATGGATGGATGGATGGATGGATGGATGGATGGATGGATGGATGGATGGATGGATGGTATTTCTTCACTTTTTTGAGAGGAAGAGATTCCACGTGCTATTTGACCCAAACGTTCTGCAAAAGTTCCATAAGGAGGGGAAAAAAAAAATCAACAAGCTCAAAAACAACAAATCTTATCAGTCAAATATAACATTGCCATTTCTGCGGCGGTATTTTAAAAGCAAAAAGAGCTCTATTAAAGAACCCGCCCGGAAGCCAGCACTTGTTGCCATCGTCGCTGGATTTGAAATCACAAAAAAATTGAAATCACAAAAAAATAAATAAATAAAAGTTCAAGTCCTGTACTGGTTTTCTCTCAACGATTTTGCATGAGGGTATCGGTAGACACTGTTTTGTATGCTCAAGGAGCGAGATTTGATCCTTGTCGAAGAAAAAATGGAAAACACTCACGTTCTCTGGAATTCTGGGGAGCTCTTTTAAGTCAGGTACAGTGAAGTAGAAATGCTGGAATCAACAGAAAACCAAATCATCATTAGAAGGTTTTAAGATAATATTTACCATTGGTGTAATCGTCATCTTTTGTCATTATCCAGAGCGCGATGGAGTGCCACACTTGAAAATGTGTCGTCAGTGTGCCACAGCACACTTTTTGTGGTAACACTGAAACCAAACTGTTGTTCAAGACAACTGCACACCATACCTCACAAGTTTTTATCTAGCATGATTAAAGCTCCATGTGTTTTTTGTTTTGTTTTGTTGCACAAAAATTTGCACAAAGGAAATGGCATAAATTACCAGAGCCCAAGAGAGATGTTCAAGTAAAAAATCAATTTGATTAAACACATACACACACACACGCAGACACACACACACACACACACACACACACACACACACACACACACACACACACACACACACACACACACACACGTATAGTCTGGTTTACCTTAGTATATTTCCACTGATGATTTAGCAACAAATTTTCAGACCAAAATAAATTTGAGCAACAACACACACGTACATCCAAAATTCCAACTTTGGACGGTAGAACTCAAAACTGTGCAAATGTAATGGCAAAATTGCTGGCTTCACAAGCATTTTTCATACTTATGGGTGCCGAATCATACCAGTGAACTGTGATGGGGGAAATGTTTACCTGCTACACAAAATACATCGAGGTCTACATATTTGCTTTTTTTTCCAAGTTAATTCTTATCTTAAACAAAAATGATGATCAAATGATGTAGTGACTAGTGACTCACCATAGCAAGATGAACAGGGACACCAGGCTCAGGAATGGAAAGGGTGTGTAAAGACACCAGGAGATCCCGGAAATTGATTTCCTAAAGCATTCAAAAAATTAAAGATCGATGAAAATGAAGAATATCCTACAATAAATATTACACTATATTTTCTTTTAACGTGTCTTTCTCAAGTGTCCGTATGCCATTTATACAATTTATTCATAAAGTACTCCAATCCAACTTTCACACTGTTCACCTTTAGTACATTTGCATTTATTTAGTATGTTGCTGCTACAACTACACTGATGACTGAAGAAATGAGGAATCTTACAAATATTGCCAAATTAAATTTCAGGGCAGTGTTATTTTTAGTTGGCTTTGAATGGGGTTTTCATTCAACTTTGTAGGTTGGTGACACAGAGTGACATTTTGCAGACATTTATTGATATGTTTTTAGCCGACATTAATACCAAGTTACAATACCTTTATTTTCCTTACCTGGCCAAACACAGTGTAATCTGCAATGATATTTAGCAGTTTATAATACACATCAAACCAGGGCAGGTAGCTGGAGAATACAAAGAAACCTTTAGTTGGAAATTTGACAGCTCAGGACAATTTTGATAGAAATTCCAAAATAATGCAGTTGCACAATATATGAAACAAATAAAACAGAACAAAAAAGTAAACATGACGCTCACCTAAGGAGACAATAGCAGGTGTGTGAGCTTGACGAGAGGCGACAAAACCCAAATCTGTGTTTACTGTTGATGTCAGTCAGCACAAATGTGAAATTTTGGTCCATCTGGTTGATCATGACACTGCAGAGAGAAAAGGTTTGACAACAAAATGTCATACTTACGAGTATTCAAAACAGTGCGGTTCATGCTTGAAAACCATTCTATATGAAGAAAAACAATGGTGGGTACAAGATTTACTGGAAGAGGTTGCAGTAAAAACTATAAAAATATCCATTAACTTTGTGATGTCAATTGGTCGCTGCCTTTGCAGTTATTACAAGCAAAGTATTTAGCCCAAATGTTATTTCTTATATAATTAAATCTATTTTAATTTTTTTGCTCATCAAAAATGTGGCTTTTCTTTTCAGAGTTCTTTTGTTTGACGTTAAACCCATATGATTTTAGTTTGCGGCAAAAATGAAATTATTGGCCTTGTTGTTGCTGCGCTCTTGGAGGGGAGTGTAACTGATAGGTTAGACGGGCAGACAGACACAGACAAATAGACAAAGAGAAGAGCAGAAAATTGTCTAAGTGTACCTATCCAAGCAGAACGGAAAGCAGAACTTTGGCACCGTCTTAATGGTTTCCTGTTGAAGACATGAAAATTCTTAGCATGGCAATGTTATGTATGAAAACAGCACAATATACTGCGGCTACTTTATAAAATAAACAACTCATTTTACATTTTTGCCATAATTTTTTCCAATTCTATGACCATAAACCAAATTGTTAATAGTTTAGCTGCATCTCTGTGAGGTCAAATTATTGTTTTGCTGCAACAAAAATGTGAAGGGCAAAATGATAAGGCCTCCGGGAATGAACAGTCAATGGTCAGTGTTGCACCTGTACGATGAACGAAAGCTTATGAAGTCTTCAGATTTTGGGCGAAGGTGAAGTAAACGTAGTGGACTTCTGGCTATTGAACGTTTCTGCAAACGCGTTCATTCTTGCGCCTGTGAATGGCTTTTGAACAACCATTCAATTTTTTTTCTATTTGTCTTCCAGGAGAAAACGCGGCTAAACACATGGAAAACAAGCTTTGACATGTTGGGGGATAAACACCTTATTTGGCAACCAAAGGAGCCTCGCATCGCTGCATGCATCAACAAAATATAAAGCATTATCCCACTAATTGCCCACGAGTCTGAGCGTATGTGTGTGTGTGTGTGTGTGTGTGTGTGTGTGTGTGTGTGTGCTGTCAGGCAATCACATTTTTAAAAATAATAGCACAATTTTCCGTAATTCTGATTAATCACATTTTTCTACTTTTACTTGCTTGTAACAAATATTTACCTGAGTAAAATATTGGAATTTATGTAAAATTGTCAATTAAACGCATTCATACTATTGATTCAAAGACTGTTCTACTAGGTTTCTTTCATTCTTGAATACAATTCGTCTGTATAATACCACTGTTGCAACAAAACAATCAAAACTGACTCAGCTTTTCCATTCATGTTTCGTTCTGCCCATGAGGACCATCATCCATCTTGAGAGTAAACGGGTGCAAATGTACAGTCGGCGAGGTTGGGGAACTGGCCATGTCGTGTCCTCTACATGCGGAGGAGTCAAGGGAATGGTGACCGCTAATCATTGTTTGGAACGTCATCACTGAAGTAAAAAAATTGAGCTGTCAGTCCTGCTAAAATGGAGGCAAGCTGCTAGCCACTGCGCCTGAGTTAGGTGGAGTTTTTTTTTTTTTTTTTTTTTTTTTTTGTGTAACATGATATACCTCAGACTTAAGACAGATGCGATAGTGGTTTGGCTATGCATGTCTCGCATTGCTCACTGTGGTCCAAGGAATCCATCCATTCATTTTCTAATCCAAGGATCCTCAAAAGAGTCACGAGCATGCTGGAGCCTAATCCCACCTGTCCTCGGGCAGCAGGCGGGGTACACCCTGAACCGGTTGCCAGCCAATCACAGGGCACACATAGGCGAACAATCATTGACGCGAACAATCACACCTAGGGACAATTTAGAGTGTTTCATTGACCTGCCATGCATGTTTTTGGAATGTGGGAGGAAACCGGAATACCCGGAGAAAACCCACACAGGCACAAGAAGAACAAGCAAACGCAAACTCAGGAAGGCCGGAGCCGAAGTCGAACCCTGGAGCTCTACATTGTGAGGCCAGCATGCTAACCAGTCGACCACCGTCACCCGATCCAAGGAATGCTCAAGAAATTTTTATGAATGCTCAGACGCATAGAAAATTGGAGTGAACATTGACTACAAGTAATGGGCAAAACTTCTAATACAGACACAATAAAAGGAAATGCAAACTAAAAGTTGGAAAAAACAGACCTCATCTTGGAAGTCTTCCGGGAATTTCCTTCGGATTGCAGGCTCTGGTAGAAAAACAAAATGCAGATATTTAAAATTATAAACATACAAAACAGAAACAAAGTAGGCTGTCAAAAAGCAATGAGTCCAATTTAATTTAACCGAGGTGATTTTTTTTTCAGATTTTTTTTCAAGGTTCATTGATTTGATAATTATTTGAAAGTTTATTCAAAACAAGTTTTGTTTAAGCCTGTACTCTTGCCATTTCAGAAATTGTTGGATGCTCGTGAGAAGCAGAGCTGTTATTGAATGCCATGCTTTCTTCGATGGATGCTCTTTTGGACTCGGGCTTAAAGCGATGAACCCATCTCATACCCAGTCACTACACTCTTGAGACAAATTTTGTCGCCTTTGTGACACCCAAGGAGCTCCCAAGAAATTGAAAATTGATCCTACTTGTGCACATCTCTGAGTTGTTTGGGAACCTACCTGGGAAGCCTTGGCAAAGCCGAGCTCTTTCATGATTTTGCAGGACTTCTATAGCTTATTCCCAGAAATTCAGTGACGTCACAATGGTGATGCCTCTCTGATCAGTGTCTAGTCCCAAGCACTTTTCCCAGAAAAATGGTCTGTCGATCCTTTGCTTGTCACACAGGTCACTTAAAGCAAGCTCTAGTTCTTATTGTAGCTTCCCCACCCACATTTTGCAACCGTTTGAAAATGTTTAGTAATGGTTCAACTAGTGACGGCCAAATGAAGCCTCATGAAACAATGAAGCTTTGCAGCCAATTGGTTTGTACATGATTTGAAGCTTCATGGTGCTTCATTTGCTCTATGGTGCCACAATGATCTCGAAGCCCAAGAAGTCAGCAGTGTTGAGAATTCTATGGCTGTTTGTGTAAGGCAGGGGTGTCAAACTAATTTTTGTTGTGGGCCACATTGTAGTTACGGTTTGCCTTGGAGGGCGCCATTATGAATTTTGGGAAACCATATAGATGTTTAATCACATCTACATATTATATACTCAGTGCACAACAAATTGATGAATAACTAATTTTAAAATCAGAAGTCAAGAATAATGACTGTGGTTATGGATTACACATGACAATTTGAATTTTTGGTTCAGACTTTAACAAGCATCACAGAACTTGACATGCTTGATTTGTTTTCGCGGGCCACATAAAATGATGTGGCGGGCCAGACCTGGCCCCCGGGCCTCGACTTTGATACTTACTTAGTGTAAGGAAATGTTATGAATATTCTTGTGTCATTATATGAACAAAATGAAACAAGTGCTATAAGGATAATTTGTTATTCATTTTTATTTGGAAATAATAGCTTTCCCAGTGTTTGGCTTTAACCGGTTTCTTTTTTCGGAAAATATTTCACCAGCTTTAGAAGATATTCTTTCATAGGGCACAGATGAACCTCGGGTGCAGAGAAATGCAAGTGCCAGATCATATAAATGTGGATATGTGTTTCTATGTCTCCCAGTACACTAACGGATTGTTCATTCTGTCAATATTTGGTTCGTATCGGTTCCTTGATCAACTCTTCATTAATCACTCTTCAGGCAAACAACTAATGTCATTACATCACGGCTCTCAATCAGCTTGCTATGCTAGCGAATTCAGGATTTTAGCCTCTGTAAATGGATGGAATGTGGCTAAAAAACCCCAGCTTTCATTTGCGGACTGTCCAAGGGGCCTCAAAATCAGGTGTCTACTTGGGATGAGCCTGAGTTTGTCGATCAATTAATCTGATTATAATCCTGATTCAGACTGACAATCGCATCATACAACGCTGCCATTGTGTGAGACACCACCTTCCTCCCCAAATGCCAGTGTCCCTTGTCTTGTCACCCAGCCTTTAATAATCCCCGAAATACCTGTTGCCGCTGAGGAAGAACTCATGCAACTTGGCAGAACCTGCCTCTCCCCAGAGGAAAACGCCCAGCAGGTTTCGCAGGGTATTTCTTTGCATCTATTATGGAGGATCCGGGCACTTCATTAATCAGTGCTCATGGCGACCCAGGACTCCGCTTGTGATCACAGACCACAGCCTTAGGTTGAGTAACACTAAGACCTCGAGTGAATCTTCTCAGTGGATTAATTTGCCTGCCACTGTGTCCTCCCACAACAACTGCGTCTCTCTTGAGGTGTTGGTTGATTCAGAGGCAGATGACAATCTTATTGATGAAGAGTTTGTGCCTCAAACGCACATCGAGGTGTCAAGATCGAGCATCAAGGAGCTTCCATGGACAACGTTCAATCAAGCGACGTCTGATGTATACACTGAACCAAACCTGTTTCTAAGGTTTGCTCTGCAGTAGGCCGCCATTTCTCAAATGCATTTGGCCACATAAAGAAAATTAAAAACGTTTTGATGATTCTTTGCTGTTTTTTTTCTCCATTCAACGTAATGCATAAGCAACATGATATCTAGAATTTTTTTCCCCTAAAGGTCATTCCAAATGTGCACTATGAGTATTGGTGGTGGAGGGAGCGGGGGAGGCGGCTTGGGACACACCGATCCCGATTGTCTTTGCATCTGCAAAAGTGCAGTGTGGTGCCCCTGCCAAGAGGAGTGGTGTCAGGTGGGGCTATTGCAAAGCAGAAAAAGTGCTGCAGCTGGTTCAATGCTGATTCAAAGTCAGAAACACATTGTTCTTGGTTGGTCTGTATTCCATTAAAATATTGAATCAATGTCTGTGAGTTTGATTTCAAAATTGATGCAAAGCGAGTCAGGTTTGTTCAACAGGTCCGCTCTCAGTTCGGTGAGCATGTTAAAATAGCATTGTCAACGTTGGCTGTGGCAAGATTTTTTTCAAGGTTCAACGCGTAATAGATGTCATAATTGTTTATGAGGATAGTTTCGGCAACATTTTAGGTTTGGTTGGGATTTAGTTGTGGTAATTTAGGGTGAATAATAAGAACAATAACATACAATAAAAATAAAATACAGAATGCTGCTCCTCTCCCCAGCTCACGAAACAGAAGTCACATTTTGCATTTTTTGGGGTGTTAATTTAAACAATCTTAGGTTGGATTTTTTTAATAGCGACTAACAGCTAAAATTTTTCAATCATCAACATGGCATCCTCTCCCAGCTTTCTTCGATAATACGCATCCATCAATGGTTTGATTTTATTATTATTTTTACCATTTGGTTGTTGGCTAAGAATGGTAAAATGTTCCTCAAAAATGTTGCTTTTTTTAAGAAAGAGTCTTAAGAAACCAGTGGCGGGCCGTGCATTTCAACCTATTGCTTTTTTTAAGAAAGAGTCTTAAGAAACTTACCTGAGTTTTGAGTGGCTGGATGAACAACCTCCATATATACCTCAAAAGCAGATGCTGGACTTTCCCTAGAGAAGAAAAAAAAAATTCGATTACAATTTTCACCTTTTTTGCTTGGCTGAACAACTGTTACTAATACATGATAAATAAGACTTAACTCAATAATAAACAATCAACTAGTTTTCTTTTATTTCGATAATCAACACGATTTCTTTCTTAAATTTAAACTGCATAATTGTGCATTGCAGCAAACTTGATTGTCCTGTCTAGAAACATTAGTAGATGAGAGCATGGGCTGTGGAACCCGTTAGAATCACAGTAGTGCGTATGCCTGTTGAAACAGAACTTTTGAGTGAGCCCAGATTGTAAAAAATGGATGGAACTTTAATTTTGTCAGGCTGTAAGCACCAAAGGTTAAGCCCGTATATCACTGAGCTGCAAAGATTTGCAGGTGTGTGTGCAGGTAGAGAATGTTTTTTTTTTTTTTTGTCAGTGTTGCATACAATTTGGAAGCAGTCGCAAAGGCATTCACCAGACATTCCCAAACAGCAGAGATAGGCATTCCATCCCAGACGGATGCCCATTTTGGGGACGGAGGATGAGATGTTTTTTTAAAAAGGACAGAAGTGGGTTTTTATCGATCCCTTCAATCGTCCCTAACCGGGTTGAGTATGTGGTTTCGGGAAGCAAAATAACAAGGCCAGAGGGCAGCCAAACACTGTATTTTCTTAACAGGCTGTGAACAGCACAACACTAGTTCGTATGACTCATTTATTCGCCATTAGTGAACTCCTCTCCTTCCTTTTTCATCTCAACAGTATTTTTATAGCAACACTGCCACGTAGTGTACGTATCACTGTGCTCTTTGATGGAGTGTTTTCCTATACTGCTGTTAAACCTACTGCTCGTAAGTGCAGTCATCAAGTTGTTTCTCTGATGCCTTTGATCAACTTTTTCTCTTCAAACACAGAGGAACTCAGCTCTTCTTGCCAAAATGTATTGGATTCTCTGGCTCCATTGAAAACAATGCAACCAAAAGTAAGACCCCAGCCATAAACAGAAGCACCGTGGGTAGTACACAGTCAGGAACTTGTACATGTAGCAGGCTGTTCTTCACATTAACCCTTTCATGCACCCTGTAACCTGAAAACATGATAAGCTGTCCACTGTTGTAACCGCTGTCACTCAAAGGGTTGATCTTCTTTCTTCTACTATTACCTTTTAAAGGAGAACCAAAAATTGGAATCATGATTTCAATTTTGATTAATTGTCCAGTCCTAAGTTATTGAGCAAATCTCATGTCAGAATTGAATGTTAGCATTCCCTCGTGCAAAATAGCGCAAACAAAAAAAACAATACTGCTGATATTTTAAATTAAAACAGTACTTCGTACTTTCTGTTTAATATTCTGTGTTTCATTTAAATAACTGGTCCCACAGATTCATTCGTCTTTAGCGATTCTGTTTTCAGATGTTATAAGGGAAGTCAAATGAATCAGTTCTCATCTGTGAAAATTAACCCTCAGTACTCAAAATAACAGATAGATTGGATTGGAAAGTGTTCCCTCTTCTCTCATCTGACGTATGAGGTGAAGTCCTCCGTCATTTCCAGTCTATGTTGTCCTGTATTATTTAAAATTTAAATGTAGTTACTGTTTTGCTGTCATGCGGTTCGAGCCAGACCTATGTGACAAGCATGCTGTATCACCCGACCACCTATTTTTGTATTATGTTTTGTGACTGCATTTTGATAGCTTAGCGATTAGCATGGATTCCCATCTTTCTCTCCATACTCCCTTCATCTTCATCGTAACGCTACTTACAGAAGTGTGGCTTTTTCACTGCTGCGGTGGTGATTTGTGACTTATGCTATGAAGAAACTGGATACAAACCAAACTTTTGCCTTCTCATCATTTAGCCAAGACAGCTATCAAGCCACAACGTGTACGTAGCAGCGTCTTCACAAGCAGTGTAAAACAACCAACAGCAGAAAACAGTATGGTGATGCGGGTATATACCGGTAATTTGGGCATTTCTGCCACACTGAGCAGTGCGCATGGAAGACATAATTAACATGCATTACTGCAACTGGAGGGTAAGGTCCAAAGCTCTACTTTCAGCCAAATTCATACCTGATATTGAATATAACATCTGTACTGCGTACTCCTACCCTGAACATGCATGACATAATATAGGGATGTCACTGTGAAACATTTTTAGAATTGATTATTCTGTTGATTAATCCATCAATTAATTGAATACTGTAATCAGGTATTTTATTTTGCATTAAAGTGTATTACAAAGCCATTTCTCCCCAATTAATGGTCATTAATCCATTATTCTTATTTGGTATTGTTTAGTCATCGTATGTATTCATGACATTTCAATTTGCCCGGTCAGGCCAGTGAACCCTGGTAGATTTGATACCATTTTATCGGTCAGCCATTTGTTCTCTACTCAGAACGGTTTTTGGGAGGCTGTAGTTTCTGCTGCACAAAATATTGGTAATCAATGAAGAAATTTTAAAAATGACAGATTTAATAAGTTGAAGGCTTATGGTTGCTATAGAAATAAACAGTTCCCAGATTGGTGGTGTTGGGGGCGGGGGGTTCAACAGTCTGAAACAGATGACAATTCACGAGTGAGACTTGTGAGAATTCATTAGTTGAAGCATGGTAAGTTTGCACACCAATAGTAGTCCAATACTAGTCCAAACAAAGACACTAAGACTAAACCTCACGTTGACGTCCTTAAATTTCGACGTGTGGTGTTTATTGCTATTTTGGATTTACCAGAACTTCTACTCTTCAATAGAGAAATTCAGTATTCAAAAATATAAATTGAATTTTGCCGTAAATGTAAAACAGCTACTTCAACAGACGCAGCAATTACACATCGACAATACAATAATAAATTACCTTCATGACACATTGAAGAACTACTATTTCTACTGCTCCGCGTAAATTGATCAATGCCCACTCTAAATACAACGCAGCACTGCATTTGCGGATGTCATTGCCAGCACATGGCATGTAAATTTCCCGAATTCAACGAGAATTTACATCCTTGAACTAATCCCAAAAATGCAGTGAAGACCATGGCAATGATGCTGGTGTTATTTTGTTTTGCTGTACTTCATTTTTGAAGAGCACGACTGTTTCGGTGTCAGGCCCACGAACTGTACGTATATTTGAGCAATTACTGTGAAAAAAAGCTAAATAAACCATACATACTAATAATAGGACAGCAAATATTTCTTACTTTAGTCTGGATTCCATCTTTCGGTCCGGAACACATTGACTTGCAGTAGATGACAACGAAATCCGAAGCAAATATTGCTGTCGCGTTACATGAACTAAACAAACCAACGGTGTCCTGCAATGAAACGTGGGAGTTGAAGTTTACGGCAGTCGCGTAGCCGATACCGCAATACGCAATTGTTCTCGTGACAGAAACTACAACTTCCAAAAATCTGAGCAAGAAAAGTCGCGTGACAACACGATAGTATGTTCCGCTCTTTTTCTCTCCTCCACCCCTCACTTTTGCAAAAACCTGCAAAACGCTGTGGCACGCGTAATGTTTTGCACAGAAAATTAGAAGTTAAAGCATATGGGGAGAGAAGATTTAATCCGCACGTTGAAAACACACATTCAAATAAACTTGACAAAAAAATGACAAAACTCAGCTCAGAAAACCCATTATAAAAAAAACAAATAGACAACAATTTCTCTCGCCGAGCGCAGGTTTCTTAAGTGTCGTTGTGATCGAGAGACTGAATTTCGCGTCTGAATGCGCGTCTCGCATTGTGCTAGATTCAAGATTATGTTCACAGACACACTCAAACGCGTCAATTAATAAATGGTGAAGGTTTTCTTTTTAACCATTCACAATTTTTGAACAAATATATAATACTTGTTGGTACAAATGAATTTGCTATGGTCATGGATGCTATTCGTTTTGGAATCTGGACTGTCTTGAAAGGGTTGGAAACAGCCCGTTTGTCAAGTCTGGACGCAAAAGTGACTTCTATCGCCAAGGTCTGTCTAACTACTTGAGTTAGAGGTAACCATAAAATACGTTCCTTGTTTCGAAAAGATATTTCTTCAACCCCGAATGTTGTTTCTTACTGGTCTGGTTTTGTTGATAATTTACATTGGGAAAAAAATCTGGTCTCTTCCATACGAATGCGTTCTGACAAATAAAGTAAGAGATATCTCTTTTTAAATTATACTTGAGTACTATCCTACCAAGTATCTTCTTAAACTCAATAAATCAATCTGTGTTGATTGTTTGTTTTGTGGAAAGTCCCCTGAAACGTTGATTCACCTGTTCTGGCAATGCCCGTATACCAACGTTTTGGAAGGTCATATGTCGAGTTTGATTGATTATACGGTATGTTGACTCTGACTTTACTCTTTACTGGAAAATGGACTGTTTGGCTTCTTCAATAACGATGGTTAAAAAACAAAGTCATTAATATAAATTTAACAATTATTCTAGCAAATCCACAAATCCAAATTCAGTCACTCAAAACCTTGTTTAATTTTCGAAGCAGTAACCAAACAGTAATTCAATTCTATTCTGGACTCCCAAAACAAGAAAGCAGTTAAGACTGTTGCTTTATGTTCTTTATTAAAATCATTTGTTTAAACCCCCTTGGTCTCCTTTTTTAAAAATCTCTCTTGAGACACTATTTGTATTGATAACTCTGGGCATGTTTTCTGTGATTTGTAATTCTATCAATAAAGTCTTGTTAAAAAAAGAAACTCAAACACCGGTTTGCCAACCGAAGAAGAAGAGGAGGAGGAGGAAGAAGAAGACGGAAAACGGAAAAGTCGAAGAAGAAGACATTGGCCATAGTTACAACAAGATGGCGTCCTTAACAGCTAGCTTGACACCCCTCGGTGGATTCACTTTTGAGAACTGTAAAAGGTACGCGTTGTTGGCCGAGAATCGGTATTTAATGATGAATAATCAGAGGCAATGTAAACAGTCATTCCATTCATGCCTGCTAACATTTTTTTCGTGGCGATTGTATGGTTTTTCGATGGGATGACTCAGCCTTTTCCTGTACGTTAAGTGCGCGCGTTGAACATGGTGGTGCCGCAGTACGGTTTTCGTTATTAACAACACCAAACAATTGGTATACATGGGATGCATGAATAATGATCGGTCAGTCGAAGAAATATTTTGGTTTGTCCATTGAATCTGCCAAACCCTAGAAGGTTTTTTTGATGATACCTGCCTGAACAATCCCGATAGTATAATCGGTTACATACGATAAAGGACTATTGTTCCACTTTCATTTTCATGAGCAGTTTCACATTGTAGCCAAAAATGCTACTTCGATAGTCTTCAAAGCCCTTTCAATTAGGGGGTGGTTATTTTGTCCTGACCGGCAACTCTACTGCAAGCGATATTTTGCCGTGAATCGACGTTCGTATTCTTCTCCATTGACGAGGTTGGTCGCGAATACGTAATTTGGTTGTATAGTAAACTGCTGTTATATTACTCTGAGTCATGCGCAGTGCGTGGTTCCTGTTTCCCTTCATGCAGTTTTCAATGAAAGTATACGTAACATTTCAACTCGAGCTGTTTTTATAACTGCAAAGCTCGTACCTGATTAATCAACGTGGTGTCAAAATACAAATTTATGAGCTCAAATTCTTTTTCGACAATACACAGTCCATACCTTCTCTCCCCACGATCCAGGAACGGGTGCATTCCGTTTTTCCCTTTCTTTTCCTCATTTTTTTCAGTTGAATTTTATAAGTGGCTACCAGAATTCATTTCTTGCCTCAGTTGAATATTGACAGGATGGCACCAAATTTTATAAGTGGCTACCAGAATTCATTTCTTGCCACAGGATATGTAAGAAACACTGCAGCTGTACGAAGTTTCAACTTTCTAAACACAAAGTAAATCATCAATTTAATCTAAAGTAAACCTAACTATATTTAGATGATTCTATAAAACTAACCACTCATGTCTATTTTGAAATATTTCATTTGATATGGTTTTTGAAGTGATTCTTATTTTATTTTGTAGAAATGGCTTCCTGGAAGACAAAGCAAATGAAGCAGGCTGTCATTTACCGGCTGCTCGTAAAACCGGAACTACTATCTGTGGTGTTGTGTTCAAGGTGAGAAAAATTACTAAAATAATTTACCAATGCGCGCTGTGTGTGTCAGCAATTACTTAAAGTCCACATTTATATTTCCTTTCAAACATTTTTTTTTTTGTCCAATTTCCCATCCGCATCTATGGTAACTGTATTTACGAGGTACTGGTGGGCTATGGCATACATTTGAATTGGCATGGGCTGATACTAGTTTCTCCTTTTATGATAACAGACAGAGAGCTAGCATTAGCATCAGCATCTCACTTTGTTCCACTCACCTCAAACTTTTGATACAGTGAAACTCCTCTACAACGAAACCTACATGGGCGAAAATAACCCCTGGTGTGAAAAAAAATCTTCATGCATTAACACAATTCCCACTTTCCTGCCCCCCATACAGCGAAAAAAAACCCTGTTGCTTTATACGAAATCTTTTTCTGTTCTTGCTCTTGCCTCACGACGAGATTCACTACAACAAAGTCTAATCCAACAGCGACCTCTACTGCTTCGTTCGGAAACGGCAACAGCAACCACAGACACTAGTTTACACATGCGCAGTAGTCCAGGAAGTATTTGTTATTGTTAGTTTCAGATGCAGCAATAACGTTGCATTGCTAAAATGGCTACAAAACGGACCGTTGGATGTCAAGCAGCTAAGACAAGAAGAGCGCTGATGCTGGAAGAGAGGGTAAAAGTGATCAAAATGAAAGACGGAGGAAGCATAATAAGACATTATCCAAGAAATTGATGTAAGTGAAAGTGAATGCTGATCGTAAATTTCGCCATTTCTTTCCCTTTGTTTCTTTCTACACAGACTATATGAAGTGTCAAATAACTGTATGCTCATACTTATGCACTATTGGAATAAAAGTAAAGAGTACACATACATTTGTGTGTGCGTGTACACACACGTTTGTGTGTGTTTGTGTGTGTGTGTGTGTGTGTGTGTGTGTGTGTGTTTATATCTGAGATCAAATTTGCTACAGTAAGAAACCCCCTGTTGTGAAAAATTTCTTGCTGCAGACATGATTTCGTTCTAGAGGAGTTTCACTGTACCCCAAAGAGTTTCAGAATGGGTGGTGGTTGCGATCTGAACTTTTCTGTACTTGTTTATTCAAATTTGGTCGCTGCAGTAATCTCAATAGTCATTCTTATGCTAGTTCATTTATTCACCTATTTACAGTGTAGCAGAGCACCATGATATGACATTGTGTCAGATTTCTTCTTCGAGGTTGCGTGGGTCCTACCCAATATTCAGGTAGAGAAACTAGAGTTGAAAACCTAAATGTTACTTCATGCACATTTCTTTTTATGACACTTAATAAAATGGATTACAATATAAATTTCATACTCTAGCAGGTTTTGCAAAACTAATGCATTTTGTTTCACCCCTTTGCACCCAAATAAAATGCCATTCCGTTTTGTAATTTGGTTTCATTCTAAATGAAATACAAGGCTCTATGTAAATGTGAGTAGTGATTATCTGTTATCTGTGTTTTTAACCCGTATTGAATATTTGCAAATGGCTTCTTTAACTTTGGGAAAATAACATTTACCCCTATTTTCTGACATATGACAGACCAACAGAGTAATTCCCAAACATGCTAAATTAGTCCATTGCCCCAGCATGAAAATGACAAACCGCACGTTGTTACGCTGAGCATAGACTCCTTTCTGTTACCAAATTGTCCAATTGCTCGGGGGTGAGGCAACTCCATAAGCCAAAACACCCAAATGGGTGCATTTTCTGCAATGTTCTGTTTTTGAATAATAAAGGGATAGAAATGTATTACTTTTTTTATCCAAGTGATTAATAAAAAACGATTGATGGATTATTCAAGAAAAATCAGTAGCTGGTAGCTGTAGCTTAAAAATTTTATTCCAAATCCATGTGATTAGTGTCAGCCACTCATACTCATGGATGACGGGTATTGGCAGCTTCAAACCCTGATGGGAACAACCCTATCGTAATTGGAAGCAACACTGCTTGTATTCAGCCCCCCCCCCCAAAAAAAACAAACAAAGAGACAAGACAGACGCGGTGTTTCTGTCAGTCATCAGCAAGACGGGCATCCGTCAGTGATGGACTGAGAAGTCATACTTGACCCGGTTAGTGACGATTTTTTTCCTGTCTCGGCACACCCTCCTGGCAGTCTCAAAACAGGAGCTTGACCAAAACAGTGAGAAAGGGGGCAAATTTAAACCTCCAAGAGTGGCTAAAAAGAGTTGAAATTCCAACCATCATGTTATAGTGAGACTGTTGTGGGAGCATTAAAAACATGAACTTGCACACGTGGGACCAGATAATAATAATGTTAGTGACGATTTTTTTCCTGTCTCGGCACACCCTCCTGGCAGTCTCAAAACAGGAGCTTGACCAAAACAGTGAGAAAGGGGGCAAATTTAAACCTCCAAGAGTGCCTAAAAAGAGTTGAAATTCCAACCATCATGTTATAGTGAGACTGTTGTGGGAGCATTAAAAACATGAACTTGCACACGTGGGACCAGATAATAATAATGGATACCAGGGTACCGTACTATACGGGGTACAGAGAAAAAAACTACTGGTTTAGGTTGATTTGGGAGAGGGGCGTGTTACACATGGGATTTTACAGTACAGTGGTACCTCTACTTACGAACGTCTCCTCATATGAAATTTTCAAGTTTCAAAATTCCTCAACAGGAAGATATTGCCTCTCTTGTTAGAAATGAAATTTCTAACAATTCATTTCTAACAAGATACAAAAATACAGTATGGCCTGCTAATCGCAGCTCCGAGTTTCCTGAACACAACATACTTCTAGCTGCTCTGCCATTGGCTACTACCGAGCATCATACTGGCATCCCATTGGCTAAGAGGGACCTCTACCGAATGTGTCTACGTGTGTAGATAGATAAATAGAAAGATATGTGTCTATGCGGTGTCCTCGTCATTCGCCCCTTGGGCCATGAGGCGTTTCGATAGTTTTACTTAAATGTGAGTCACCCAGAAAAAATGTTCAACAGTTGGCGATCCCTCATCCGCTGATGTTTGCCTTGGGCATTTTCGAAGGATTGCAGGAAGTAGACAAAAGAAAACGTCCTTGGATCAGTTCTTTACAAAATGCCAGGCAAAAACCACTTCTGAGAGAGAACATGAACTAAAGAGGGCAAAAAATGATGAGGACGCACTTTAAAGTTAAATGACCATTTTTATTCTTTACTTTGTTCTTTGTTTTTTTCATTATCCACAATTCTCATTTATTGTGCAATAATCTAATTGTCACATGTATTTGTTACACGTTTTGATGCATTTTTATGCTTTAGAAAACATTTATGTCTGAATTTTGCAGAAGTTTGGAACAAATTAGGGCATTTACATGGAAAACGTGTCTCTACTGACAAAGTTTTCTTCCATAACCAATTAATTTCGTAATTTAGTTGTTAATTCTTTTTGAATATCCTCAAACCTTTCTTTTCCTACCTCAAATTGGTTTTAGGCACACACAAAAATAATTAAAGCGTGAATGAAACTACCCCAGTTTCTCATTGGAACTACACACAAAATGAATGTGCACCCCCATTCATGCTACATGAATACCTCCACACCCACCTCTGCAAATTTAAGTTGGGTTAACTGAATTTTAAAATATTGTCATTCTCTTTTTAAGGATGGTGTTGTCCTTGGAGCTGACACTAGAGCCACCGAGGACATGGTAGTGGCTGACAAGAACTGCTCCAAGATACATTACATCTCGCCCAATATTTAGTAAGTGATTTTAGCCAGGTTATCATGCAACGCAGGTGGTCTAACGCAATTTTGTGTATTTAGTTGAGGCGCAGGGTTTGTGTGGTTCACCTCACTGGATTTCATTCACAAATGTGACACAAGTGTGGGACATTCCCTCTGAATCATTGTGGAAATAAATTGATTGAACAAATTATAATCATTATCAATATCTTTAAAATATTGATAATGATGTGTGTGTGCATCCGCAACGCCTGTGCTTCGCCCCCAACATACACACACACACAAAATGTGCACAATACAGGACAGTTTTCGTGACACTTCTGCTTGGGGATTTCCACATAAATAAATTTAAGCAAGTCCTCAAGTCTTCTGAGTTTGGCAGATGATGCAAAGTATTTTGTTTCAGCTCTGGAATACGATGCACATGCAACTTTTTAGCCATTTTTCTTGAATTTAGTGGGCGGGTACTTCAATTCATAGGATCGCGTCTATGTCACAGGACAACCCGATTGGCATGTTTTCCTGCCTTTTGCATTTCATCGACGATTGTGTGATCGCCAACAAAAGGCATAGATGTCAATCTTGTACACATCCTTAAGTTGTAGACTCAGTTTCGCCTATCTTGTGCTCAGAACGTTGCATTTTGATGCCATTGGACCTTTTGACAAACATGTCTTTCCCTTGGTCTGTTACATCTGAAACAAAGTGCCATCTTGTTGTCTAATTTTATGATACAGCTGTTG